GTGTCCATCCCTTTATGACCACAGTGTACCCATCTTCTGATGGCTACTTCCAGCAGGATAACGCACCATGTCACAAAGCTCACATCATCTCAAACATGACAATGAGTTCACTGTACTCCAATGGCCTCCACAGTCACCAGATCTCAGTCCAATAGAGCACCTTTGGGATGTGCTGGAACGGGAGATTCTCATCATGGATCAACTGTGTGATGTCATCATGTCAATATGGACCAAGATGAGTGTGTACCACAAAACATTAAGGCAGTTCTGAAGCCAAAAGGGAGTTCAACCCGGTACTAGCATGGTGTACCTAATAAAGTGGCCAGTGAGTGTGTATGACGAGGAACAAAGCATGAAATCCAAATCACAGTCTTCCTCAATTCAGGAACCGCAAATAACAGCCAGAATATTGTCAACAGGACGGTTCTCCATCCACAACAACAAAATGACAGATGAGCTGAAATTAAAAGAGAGAAGGAGAGATGTCTAAAGACAGGTTCAGAATAAAGGGGCACTTTATCAGAAAGCAACCAGAACAAGAAATAAACACAAAAACTTCAGTCTGAGCTCTGGATGCATCTCACAAAGGGGCCCCACACCTCTTTGAATTTTTTTTTATCTAAGCAACAAATTGAGTAAAGGATCTTTTTTAGATTAAGACGGGACAAAATGTCCCTCAGCTACTGGGCATGTGTGGGCGGGGCAGCGTTCCTCCGTCTGATTAGAGCCGCCTGTGTGGCCAACAGAGAGGCAAAAGACAGTGTGCAGTGTTGGACTGGAGTCAGGTATACATCATCCTCTCCTATGGTGCCAAAGAGGGCGACCAACCAGAGGGTTGGGTTGCAGGTCAAAGTTGAGGATACAAAGTTACAAAGCTTCATAGATTTGGTGCCAGATCTTATCGATTGTTATCTCTGTTGATTTCTTCCGTCTTTGTCCTTTCAATACACAAATAATATTTCATTAAGGTTTTCCATTTTTGAATTGAAGGTGCTTCCTCCTTTTTCCAGTTTTGCAATATGAGCTTCTTATAAAGTAAAGACGAGAAAAGAATTTGACGTCCTGTCGGCTGTCTTGTTTTCCTAACATTTTGACAGTTGACACAAATTGTTGGTGAAAAAACTACTTCACAAATGCAGGTTCTTTAAATCCATCTTTCAGTATTCTCCTAAGTCTTTTTAATTTTGACACAGTACCAAAGACATTTAATTTAATTTAATTTAATTTAATTTAATTTAATTTTAATTTTATAGTTTTATTAATTTAAATTAAATTAAATTAGATTAAATTAAATTAAAGTTAAATCATACAAAATTATAACGTAGCCTACCATAATTATTATTATGCAGATGACATGCAAATATACATATGTCTCTCACCAGGTGATTATGGACCTGTAGAACATCTGTGTCACTGTAATGAGCAAAGAAATGATTGGATGCATCAAACTTTTCTCCAACTCAACAGAGATCAGACCGACATCATTGTGTTTGGGCCACGGAGAGAAAAACAGAGTGTCAGCTCTCACCTCAGATCCCTCCATCTTATAAGTAATAACTTTGTTTTTATCCTGGAAGTTCCAGATCAGATCTGTAACGTCATCTGCCTACTACCTTTTTAAAAACATTGCCAGAGTCAGAGGAATAAAGTCAAAGCTCGTCCACACCTTTATTTCCAGTAGATCAGATTACTGCGATGGTCTGTTGGTAGGACTTTAAAAACAAGCTGTTCACCAACTTCAGCTCATTCACGATGCTGCTGTGAGGGTCCTGACAACAACTAGGAAATATGACCTCATTACTCCAGTTGTAAAATCCTTACATGGTTACCTGTCACTCAGAGAATGGATTTCAAAATGTTGCTGCTCTTTGGCTCAGCGCCCAAATATGTCTCAGACATGCTTGTGACATATGAACCTTTGGGGACCCTGAAGACATCTGAGGGCCGGCCTACTGACCATCCTAAGAGTCAGAACAAAGCTTGGTGTTATCACGCAGCACAAACCTCCCAGATGTTAGACAGGCCCGACTCTCAACACTTTTATGTCAAAGCTAAAAACCTTCCTTTCTTACACCGCCTGCTGCGCCCTGTACTCACCGCACACGTGTTTTTAAACTCAGTTTTGAATCACTTTTTTATCTTTGCACCTCTTGTCTGCACTTTTGCTATTTTTAATGGTGTTTTTTAAATTGCAGTAATTTATTTCTAATATGTGTTACCAGGGAACAACTGGCGCTCCAAAGGGTGCCACCTTGACTCATCACAACATCGTCAACAACAGCTACTTTATTGGTATAAGAGTGGGATACTCCTGGAAGGTGAGTCTGATGTCTTTTTTTAGATCGCTGAACTTTTCACACCTCACAACTTGTTGTCTCGTCGTCAGGACTCTTGACATCGTACTTTTCACACGAATGAGCAGCGACAGGCGGTCACGCACTACAAGATCTCTCACCAGGGGACAGTCCCCAAATTCTGGTCTCAAAAATAAGATTTTTTTACACAAATGCACACGTGCAAAGTGACACATGTTCATAAAATAGCCTGTTTCCATGTCTTTACTATGTATCGCCTGTTTCCTCCAGTGCAACAACAACTTCTGTTCATGTTGCAGACACAGAAATGTTCCTTCTTTAGTTTGTAATCACATGAAAATAAGCATCATGTTTTTGTTACCTCAGAATGAGCTGTTTATATATACACAGAGAGCTGGTCGTCGTCTATGGAGATTGCCGCGTTGCACCGCCATGTTTCTACAGTAGCCCAGAAAGGACAACCCAAACACTGACTCTAGATAGAGGCGTTTTTGTTTTCATGTCAGCCCCTGTAGTAAGAAGCCCACCTGTGATGAGCAGCATCAGAGAAACACTGATTTGTAAAGTGAAACTGCTTCATGAAGTGTTTTTACCAGTTTGAATCAGCTGATATGTTTGTTCTGGAGAGGAAGAGACTGTGTGGAGGATTCAGCTCCTGGTACAAACCTCCTGAGCAATGAACACTTAAAGGGGAACTAATGTTGTTTTCAACCTGGGCCCTATGTTCTGATCTGCTTTTGTCTAAATGAGTGATAGGATGTTCAATATGTGACATGTCTCCAGTATGAAGCTAGGGCTGACCTGCCTGCAGCCCGTGAGCGCGCGCTATATTAAATAATAGGGCACTCAGACAGCGTCAAACAACGTCAAAACACGTCCACTAAAAGTGCATTTTTTATAATATAATATATAATCAAGATGTATTCATGTTGAGGAGTAATTAGCTCTCAAAATAAAAAAACTGTTGGTTTCATTCCCAGGGAAATACATAGGGTCAGACTAATAACTGGAGAAGAATCAGTCATGTCAGTAGACTCCTGTATGTAATGAAAGCTAGTTTACTGCTCCAGGAAGTGAGTCGAATATTAACAGACCCGTTTCCTTGTCTCTGTTGAGTCTGACAGCCAACATGAGCTTCATACTTTCTAGAGCTGATCTGAACGCAATCTAAATGTCTTGTTGACCAATCAGATTGCTTGGTCGGAGCTACTTGTAGAATATGCATTAACCGACACGCATCATGCATCATCTCAGAGATCGTTAACCTCTTCTGGGCAGAGAGCAGATTTGCGAGGTCACAAACTTCTTCACTCAGAGAGCTGACAATCATCAGCTGAGTCTGTGTGTGATGAACTTTGAGCACAGGTGGAGAAAAACCCCAAAATAACAGTAAATGAATTTGCTAACAAGCTGTTTTTTAACGTAATACCACCTACACTGTTCTGCTGCCACAAACACTCACTAGAGCACCGCATACACGAGCCATTACTGAGCCTGTTTTAAGATTTCCATCTTTAGTAGGAACCAATGAGCTTGGGTCTTTGTGCCACAGACAGGGTGGGGACGTCAGATGATATTGCTCATGTTCAATGTCCTGTTTTGTCCCTCAGCATCACATCGCCTGCATCCCTGTGCCTTTGTACCACTGCTTCGGCTCTGTGGGCGCTGGAATGTGCATGGCTGTGCACGGCCTCTCCCTGGTCTTCCCCTCTGCTGGGTATGATGGGAGGGCCAATTTAGCAGCAATAGAGAGTGAAAGGTAAGATCAGGAGTCCAGGTCAGTTTATTTAGCCTTTGACTTACAGTGAAAATGATCTTTGATGAAAGACCTCATTAAACGTGCAGCACACAGAGCTGCTCGGACAAAAGATTGAATGTGTTTAAAATATAATCGCCCTTAACTCTGGAGTTCTGTGGTGCCCTGGGGTGCAGTGATGTCACAGGAAGGAGGAGGGGGGGGCTTTGTTATTCTGAGCTTATTTCAAATTAAATACTCAAATCTGAAGGATGAAGGAGGCTGAAGCAGCGCAGACTGGTTCTCACACATCACAAAATATTCTTTAGCTGACATGTTGCAATAACTCACCATTAATCATAAAATAATCTGATACATTCACTGTTTTGGGGCAGAAATCAAGTTTTCAAAAACGTGTGCTTTATCCCAGCAGCAGCAGCAAACTGACAGTCTTTGAAGTTTCACGTTACTGTTTTAATCTCAAACTAATTGACAGAGTTTTTCAGCACATTGAAGTGAATTAGACATCAATGAATCAAAGCATGAACACACAGTATGCAGAGTGTCTCTAAACAGAAGCTCATGTGCACTGAAGTCAGCTGAGCCACAAATATTCATGTGTTTGAAACTGTGCAGTTTGGGGCCAGTTTGCAAAGCTGCTTACTGATGTTTTCATTTTTACTTTTGGATGAAGCAGCTTTTAATGTCTCAGAGCAGAGTTGCAGCGACGTGTTTCAAGAAACACTGTGGTGTGAAAACTGACGATTATCATACAGGGTACATCTGCTTATCTATGATATTGAAAAATAAACAAATACAACCGGACACAGAATGTCTCCGTCATTTGAGTTATTTTTAAAAGGGAGACTTTTTACACAAACGTCAGTTAATAAAAATAGTTTGAGTCATGGTAATAAAACATTTGCTCAACCATAAATAATCTTTCTGTTCCTGCCTCTAAGGATCACTCTGAAGGCCTTTGCACACTGACTCTGTTTTTTTTTCGGGTGCTTTTTTTTAATCTGATAAAAATAGTTCTGCACAGAGACCTTGCACACTGACTCTGATGTGTTTACCTGTGTGGCTGTCACCTTGCCCTCCATGTCTTTCATTTGGCGCCACAGCTTCACAAAGAGGTGGAGTCACACTGTTTAGGCACCATTAGCTCCAATTCTCCAGCTCAGCCATCTCCATGACGAGAGCCATGTGCAGGCAGTCCCGGCCCACACTCTGAGTTTGTGTGAGGTCCACACCCTTCTCCTCTTCATCATCATCATCATCATCATCATCCACCTGAATCTCACCATCTGACCTGTTGAAAGTAGCTGTCTGAGTCATGAGATCATTTGTGCACCCTGTTCCTCGTCTCGTCACAGCTGTTTCCTGCCGCCACAGTTTCTTCACACATTCTTGGTCAAATGTCTCTAAAGACCGACAGATATGAAAAACACAGAAAATTGAACCTGTTTTTTTATTTTAATGACAGACGAAAGTCTCGGACTCTTTATGCAAAAGTGATTAACACAACGTGAAGGCAGATTTATTTATTTTTTTTTAGACGAAGAAAACCAACTCAGAGTGCACAGGCCTTAACTAATACCGTGATATCGTGATATTTTCTGAGACAGTTATGGGACCATGATAATAACCATATCTCAAAGAAATGTTTTGAGTTTGAAATTAAAATTAATAAATGAATAAATGCAAATTTTTGACACATTTCCAGGTTTATTTATTTTTTTATTAGTTTTTCCAGTGAAGATGAATTTTGTTAATTTGTCGTCACAGGTGCTCGTTCATCTACGGCACCCCCACCATGTACGTGGACATGATTAACCAGCCGGATTTGGCAAAATACGACCTGTCATCAGCCGAGGCAGGTGAGGACAAAGATATGCTGTTTTAATAACTGGAACAAAACAAGTAACAATTTTAAAAATTTTATTTGTGAATATTTCCAGAAACTGACTGCTGCTGATTTCACTGCTTAAATGCTGCTTTGTTTTTGTGCTGAAGGCATCATGGCTGGTTCCCCGTGTCCTCCAGAACTTATGAGGAAGATTGTTTCTGTGATGGGCATCAAGGGAATGACAGTGAGTCTTATTATCTTATCTTATAATCACAACTATTCATTAGCCAAGTATTTCACTGCTGGAAAGATGTTTCTTGTTTTTTTTAAATATAAAACTGGGCTGTCTGTGCATTCGTTAAACACACAAACTTTTGTTGCTACACACAGTAAGCAGAGAAAACAGAGCTGTAATATTAGATGAAACTCCCCAGCACAGTAAATAAAGCATTTAAAATGAATTCCACTTTTATCAGCTGCAGCATTAAAGTCTCTCCTTCACACAAAAGGCGCTGCTTTATGACACAGAGGACCCATCAACAATATCATATTATTTTCAAGGGCTGTAATGCATGAACAAAATGAAGCATTATTAGATCTTTTTAAAGATTAGGCTTTTTAAAAACTATTATTGTTGTTATTATTATTATTATTAGGCCTTTTTAAAAAATATATATGTACAGCCTGTTTAGATCCGGGGCTATTCATAAAACATCCGGGGCTGAAGCCTCAGACGCTCAGGTCTCAGACGCTCAGGCCTCAGACGCTCAGGTCTCAGACACTCAGGTCTCAGACGCTCAGGTCTCAGACGCTCAGGTCTCAGACGCTCAGGTCTCAGACGCTCAGG